TACAGTGGTACCTCTAGTTACGAATTTAATTTGTTCCAGAGGTCCGTTCTTAACCTGAAACTGTTCTTAACTAGAGGCCTGCTTTCGCTAATGGGGCCTCTTGCTGCCGCTGTGCCGCCGGCACACAATTTTCGTTCTCATCCTGGGGCAAAGTTCTCAACTTGAGATAACTCTTCCAGGTTAGCGGAGTTTGTAACCTGAAGCGTTTGTAACCTGAGGCATTTGTAACTCGAGGTACCACTGTACTTTATATCCTGAGCCCAAACTTCCATATAATCACTGATAGTTGTAAGAAGTAGAAATTCACAGTGGCTTACAGTAACTTGGATTCTTTTTGCAATTCATAATTGTAATGAGGCATGGATAGAATAAACTTTTGTGGGGGTTTTCTAGCCGAAGAAAATGATGTATGTTCAAAAATACTAAAAGAAAACTATAGTTAGGAATATAACACAGTTTGCAATACTTCCCCAAAGTGGGAAGTGGTTAATGGATTTTGAACTGTACATTTTAAAAAAAGATTTAAAAGTTTAGGAATATCCTGATATCAGACAAACTAGCAAGGAGATAAATTAGTGGCACATTGTGAGCCAAACAGCTTTCAGAAAATATGTAAATATAATTCTGTTTAAATTATTGTTTGGTTACCTCTTTAAAATTTTTTCTAGTTTCATAATCTTTAATTCTGCAATGCCAAGTGTAAAACTATTTAAAACACTTTTTTCCAGGAAGTACATGTAACTTCTTAAACCAAAGAGCCTTCTATTCTCTTGTCTCCCATGCAAAATGTTTCTAATTGCTTGTTTGGGGTTTTGTACCTGTATAAAATATGCTTTGATAGATTTGTTTTGATTAAATTCATTTTAAGGAAGGATGTTTTTCCTACTTAGCAAACAAACTGGGAGAAATACTATGTAAGTGATGTCATACTTTAAAATACTGCATGCTCAATGTATCAGTTGTTCCTCTGTGAATTTTCGTAGCATATTACAGATTGCCGATATACAGATACACAAAATTATCATCTTCCATTCTAAAATGGCAATTATTTAATTTTGAAGTAGATTGTATTTATTTCAGTAGTTGCCAGAAGCGCATATAAGCCATTATTCAACATCCATGTAGATTACTTGTTTGTGTCAATAGCACAACATTTCACACTCATGTAAAAGGTAAGGAGAGGCCCACCTTGCATTGGAGGCTTTCCATGCTACTGTTTCTCCATTTTAAAACCTTGACAAGTTGTACACTCCTGTTCAGGAGTCGTGCAGTTGATTCAGTGCACAGTCTCCAAACCTTTTGTTTTAGAAGGATAAGTAATACTTACAAAATGGCCTGGATTTTTTTTAAAAAAACAACCCTGTGTTGGCATCACAAGTCACATTACAAACTGTACTGAATAGGTGCCCATGACACTTCCATACCGCAGTCCTCACAACAATCAAAGAAGCAATGAATATGCTAGTGGGGAACCCACATTTTCCCACACATAAATCCTACTCAGTGATACAAAGCATGACAGTGTTGAGGGGATGTTGCCCTTCAAAACACTTAACATGGTTATAGACTATACCAAGATGGCTTTAATTCAGGAGGCGGTGAAATAGCTTCAACCTCTAATACTAACCCTCAGCATAAGATGATTTTTAAAGGATAGTTTGTATACAGTAGAATCTTATTTCTCTAAATGCATTCTACAATTGATTGAGCACATATCTGTAGTCAAGCACTGAAAACAAGTTATTATTTTTCTAGAACTCTCAGGATGTATTTTAGACTTTGATAATCACTTTGAATTTTAAGAATTCTTTTTTTAGATGCTGCCTTGGTCAAAGCTCTCCTGCTCCTACAAAATAAAATAAAAAAGAGAAGATGACTTTACATTCATTTACATTAAAACAATACAATTGGAGGTTTTTGATCCATTGAAGTAAAATTAGATCTGTTATTGTGTTTCTTTTCATTTTGCTTTTTACTAGCCATTTTTTTTAGTAGTCTATCCTCACTTTGATTTTTCATTAAAAAATTCAACTTCTAGCATCTATAAAAAGCTCAATTTTCAAAATTTCAAAACACAAGTTCTTGAAATGCATGTTTAAGTTCTTTCGAGAAGCTTTGCATTTTTAAAAAAACACCTGAAAATTTGTGAAAACCTGAAATATAGGCTTTGGGTTGGAACCATAGGTATGCCATCAGTCGATGGAAAGCGTCTTCCATGCATGGAAGGGCTGTTTCTGACTTAGCAGGAAAGCATTGTGTAAGAAAATAATCCCCAGATCCAGAGGAGTTTCTCCATGTGTACAAGTCTTTTTGTAGGACTTTGCACAAGCTTATTATGATCTACTAGAATTTTTTATGCTACAGCTGGTATTTTAGTTATGCCCAGTTTCTTATACTGTAATGCAATCTCTGACACATTGTGCCTCTAGCTCTTGAGCAAAACTCAACATGGAACAGAACTAACAAATATTCTCCTCCTAGTTGCTGTAAGATAGGCTAATAGAATTCAAACGTGGTGTTGAAATTTCATCCCCAAAAATATGTTGCTTAGAGTATCTTTCTCTAGAATGGTTCAGGCCTAATGGTAAACCATGGGTTGGCATTATGTGAACATAGTGATTCACTACTTCCCTTCTGGTTTGAGGTCAACCTTAATTTGCCATCGCATTTGAATTAACAAACTATGGTTTGAGCATGCCCTACAAACCAGTATTATATTGCATCCCTTAACTTTGAGATAGGGTAAAATTTCTAACCTCAGGCTCCTCATCCATTAAGTGACATTCCCCCTTAATACTGAAAGGTAGAACACACCTTTTAGTTCATGAGGCTTTGCTTGAGAGGCTTGTTCCTAAAAGGTCCATGTGTCCTTCTTCAAGTAGCAAAAGTAATTATCTGAAAATGAGACAATATATACAGAGGAAGGAAATTTAGCCAGAGAATAGCAATGCATATGAAAACCTGGCATGAAGTGAAAATTCCATGGATAAATGGAAATTTGATTTCATTATTTATAGCAGAACATTGGGAATTGTGCAGAAGTCAAATCCATGTTTCCTCCATTGGGTTCTGCAAGTTGCTTTGTAATTTCAGGTGTTCAGAACTGTAGCTATGTTAGGAACACCTTGCTTTTTAAACTGAGTTCAAATTTTGAGTTGGCCTTTGGTAAGACAACTGAGATACAAAGGCATAAAGCATAACAAATCAATGGAACATTATAAACAAATTGTATGGTTGGCTACAGGAGAATGTACAGTGGTCAAGGCTAATATTCCAGCATCATCTAGAGCAGTCTTTCTCAACCATTGGGTCCCCAGACGTGGGGCTACAACTCCCATCATCCCTGACCACTGGTTCTGCTAACTAGGAATGATGGGAGTTGTAGTCCAACAACATCTGGGGACCCAAGGTTGAGAAAGGCCCATCTAGAGGCTCACTGTTTCACCATCCCTAGTATATGGGGATGCTTCAGGCAATAAGAAGGTAAAAAAAGGCAAATGGCTGCCTCCTCACACCTTTCCTACTCTCCAGAAAACTCTCCGCTTAGTCCTGATCATTATTTAATAGATTTACATCCTACTCTTAACTGAACCCCTTCTGAACATCCTACTCTTAACTGAACTTCACAACATGTTTTACATGTCATCATGGATTACCCCCCCCCAAAAAAAAACCCCATACATTTATGGCCTAATAGGAAGGGAAGAGCTAGTAGTTCAAGGGCAGGCACTTGAAATTGTCTGTCTCCCTCTCTTTCTCCTTGGTGATAAATGGTATTGTATTGTGATGGGGGAAAGGATAATCCAGCTGGGGTAACAGTAGGCACCCGATATTGCGATATATAGCAGCAGATCACTCAAAATCAGTGTTGGCATCCCAGCCCCAGACTTGAGCTCTTCAGCACAGTATGGCACAGAAGGTTAAGGTTTCAGGAAGATGGAAATAAATAAATAACGGCACACTCTTTTTTTCCATGTCAACTTCCACAGCAAGTCCAAAATAGTGCTGCAAGGCTCCTGTTTCAGGCTGCCTGGAATTCTGAGCTGGAGGATTAGTTTTAGAACGCGAAGGAACAATGCAGTATTTTGTTGAAGATCCTCACTTGTCTGAAAATACAAGCCGAGAGTTAGATATGAAAAAAGTATGGCCAAGGAGAGAAATTATACGCGCAAATCCCACTATCGACCCACTTGCTATGCAAAAATTCACCAATCCACAAGTAAAGAATTGTGCCCAAACCTCACTATAAACACCACAGATTCACATATCCGAAAATCCAGAGTTTGCCCACTTCCTCATTTGCTTGCTTGCTTCTGCTTTGCTGGTTGGTAGCAGCTATGTTTAGGCAGAAACTATGAAGGGATTGAGGGTGCAAGATCAGATGAATCAGTAGGAGGGATCAGACAAATCAGTTTTTCCCTTTGTCTCTCTTTTGCTGATTGGCTGCAGAAAAAATTGAAAAGGGTGGGGGAGAAATTGGGAAAATCCCAGATTAGAAGTATTTCTATCAGAAATAATGGAAATCATGAACTCATTACTGTATGTGAACACTCGCCTGACGAACGATTTTCACAGAAAATATTGTGCTCGATAAGCAAGACCTGCGAGTATATGTTTAAAAGGCTATTAAAATCATGGGTTATATCCAATACTAGTCTACTCAGAGTAGCACTGTTGAAATTAATGACCCAGAGTAATCATGTTCATCTTCAGTGGGTCTACTCTGAGCAGGACTAGCATTGGATACAACTTTATTTTGAAAATCATAGAGTCCGAACATTTTTCCTAAAAGGATGATCTTACAATATTTCCTAGAAGGCAAATTATTGGTGATTAGGCAGACTTCCCTAGGCAAAGAATACAAAATATGGGAGCCACAACAATAAAGACTGCTAGATCTCCTCATTGATAGCGCTTCTTGACTGAAACTACTCCTTCTCATATCAATAGATGGGTGAGCTCTTTTGAGGAAAATATGCAGCTGCCCCTGTTATGTGTGTGTGTGTGTGTGTGTTTTGGGACTAAAATTCCCATCATCCCTGACCTCTGGTCCTGTTAGCTAGGGATGGTGGGAATTGTAGTCCCAAAACATACATATGCATGCATTAATATTCTCAGATCCAGGCACAACTGTGTAAGCCAAAATGTAGGAGGAAGCCATTCATGTCCTCTGTTGTTTTGTAACACAAGAAGCTATTGACCCGTTGCAATCTAATATGGTGTTAGACATATTTTACTTATTGTTGGGAAAATTATTAAACCCAACTGAATATTCTCATCCTAAAATATCAGAGTCCTGTACTTTTGCCTCAGTCCTTTTTTCTATAATGTAAGTGATTTGTTTTACTACAGAAGTATTCAAAAGAAGTTGAGTTTTCTTTTTTGACAACTTTGTCATGTATTATATGCCCCATCAGGAGTGTAAAGATATGTCGTCTAAAGAGTGGTTGGGGAAACCCAGCCAGATTGGTGGCATATTATTATTATTATTATTATTTACAATATCATACTATTCCATTTGTTTTTAAGCAAGCCATGTTTCTTCATGTTGCCCTCCAGATGAACTGCAGACTATGAAAAGCCCAACAGAATTTACAGATTATTATAGGAGAAAGGCTTCCCCATATACACCTGAAAGATAATAGCAAGTTTTCTATTCAGTTATGTCCCAAGATTTCAAAATAATATGAGAGGCCATTCCAAGTTACACACACACACACACACACACACACACACACACACACAAACACGTGTGTGTATCTATAGTATGTCCCACTTACATTTAAAGTTATAAAAAATAGACATTAATTTAGATTGTGTATTAAAAAAATATGAAAACACTCGAGATTCCTGGTTTCCACATAATGCTAAGCCAATCCATGGTTTAGCACAGTGACGGCCAAACTTGGCCCTCCAGCTGTTTGGGGACTACAATTCCCATCATCCATGACCTCGTACTGCTAGCTAGGGATGATAGGAGTTGTAGTCCCAAAACAGCTGGAGGGCCAAGTTTGGCCATCACTGGTTTAGCATGAACTTCAGAAGAGGAGAGGGTAATCATTTTGCTCCTCCCCTGTTGTTTTGCTGAGCTGAGCCATAGCTTGATTCAGTGTGTCATCTGAATCTGGATGCATGGTTTCACTCTCCCAGACAAACCTCAAACTGTAAACCATGGGACAAAACCTTGGATAAAGCTTAACATTAGTCTAGAGAGAGCTAAACTACAACTAGGTTTAAACAATACACAGAGCCAAACTATGGCTTAGTACAATATTGCATCAGGACCACCTGGGAGAAGCAAAGCAGCCACTTGCCTCTCTTCCAGAGTTTGCACAAAGCTGTGGTTTGGCTTTGTGTGATGCGGAAAGCAGACCGGGAAAGAAAAGGCAAAATAATTGGTCATAAGCCTGTGGATATAACTGTTGACATGAATATATCTGTGTTCTGCAGTAGTGTTGTGTGATAATGAACCTTGTGTCTTATTTCAGAGAGATTCCCCCTCTACATCCAGACAGTCCCCAGCTAATGGCCATAGCAGCATTAACAATTCTGTTTCGGTAAGACTTCTAGACAGAGAGTATTCAGATCTTGTTGGTGCTCATCTACCATTCCTGTTATGATTACATGTTCAGTAGAAAATTGTGTTCTGCTGATAAAATCAAGAATACTTAGAAGTCTAATTCCCCATTTGCTCTCATTCAAGGGTTTACGCGACAACATAATCTTCTCATTAAAATCCCTTTAATGAGTTACATTCAACTGTAATGTAAAAATTCACTCATCCCTGAAATATGCTTATCATTACCCTCATCCTGACTTGCTCAAAACTAAACAAAAAGGCTAATTTCTATTTTCAACTTTTGAAGTGGTCTTTTGAAGCAAAATATTTGCACAGCAGGTATTTGGAGGGTTTTGGTTTTTTTAGACCTGGACATTTTTTATTTTTAAAGCTCTGTAGATTGCAGTATTGGTTTCCGCTATCTCAGTTAAGGAATTGGTGTGTCCTCTGCTGTTGTGGTATGTGCACATATTTTTGTGAAATATGAGCCTTGCCTGGATATGAAAAGCAAAAGGAACTGGCTTTAAACTGCATTTATAATCCCAAGCTATTAACATCACATCTTTAACACAAAGTACTTTCTTTTTAGTCATATGTTCAGGAAAAAAAGGTACTGTTAAACATAATGGCAGACACCGCTATTTTTTATCATTTGTTTTTCTCTGAACATATATGGTAAAACACTAGAAAGCACCTGTAGACAGATCTTCCTTGAGAAACACTTAGATAATTGTGCTGTTAACACATGTACTATAAGATGAGAAATGGTATCTGTTTCTGCGAACTTTCAATTAACGTCAATATAGACTGTTCTATATGTTGTTTAAAATACTGCCATTGTAATTAGCTACAGGAATAATTTGGTTTATGTATAAACACTAAGATTTATATGAATTAGAAATCTATTTAGATGTAACGGCTGGATACACAGTAGCTTTCAAATTGTAAAAACAATTTATTTATATAATTGTCCCAATAGGAATATAATTAGAATGTTAAGACTAAAAGAGGGGTCCTCCTTTGCTTACAGGTGCTTTTGTGTTGAAGATGATGAATTCTTATTGAAAGCACATTTTCTGTCTGCTTAATTTTTACCTGCTTTCTTCAGCTTGCTGCTAAACAGCCTGGATTTGACATTTTTTCCTATTAAATTGTTGTTTCTGAAAATAAATTTGTTGTTAATACTTGCAAATTAACTATTTGCTTTGATACTGTTGACTGCTTTCAAAGTAAAATGAAGTTTTCTTTTCCTGGGTTGGCTTTGTTCTGCAGGACTTGCCATCAACAACACAACCAAAAGGACGACAGGTGAATAGCTATTCTACGTGGAAGCTTTCCTAATTTAGCGCCTTTAGTTTGTAGCAATCGCTCCTTACCATCTCAAATGTGGTATTCCATGATGTGCTGACTTTAACTCTAAAAACTTTTCCCATTTTGTGTTTTACTCACCTAGCTGATTCATCATAGTTCCATTTTCCTGTGACCTGAAATGTAGTTGTATATTTTTTTTTATTACAACTTTTATTATAATTTCTAATAGTAGCTATATTCAGGACCATGTGATGTGTTGATGCCATCGTTCTTCTAATGTTTCATTTTCATTGCATCTTCATGGTTGTCGTTTGCTGCCCTGAAAATAATATTTAGGCATTTACTATACATAACAGTTTTTCATGTGTGGTAGTTGTGCATTCTTGAGTATTTTGGTCTTAATAAATACTAGATTTTCTTAAGTTTCATTATGCTGAGGAGGGGATGATTAAGGGACAGTTCTTACAAGCTGGAATTTTTTATTTATGATTATTACTCAGGTATCCTGATAATATTTGGCAATACCTTTAGAATTTATTTATTTATTTGCTTGCTTGCAGGTTTATAAACTGCTTCACAACAAAAAATTACTGAAGCGGTATACAATAAAATAATAATAAGTATTACAAACACCATGAACAAAGGACAATAAAACCAGTTCTGTAGTTACAGTTATTATTGCACAAAATGACTGGGTCACATTTCATGAAAAGCCTTTTAAAACAAAACTCCCTTTAGTTAAATATAAAAACAGCTAGGTGTTTGTCTGATTTCAAATGGTAACTGATTCCAAAGGGCTGGAGCTGCAACACTAAAAGCCTAGTTTCTACTGCATACTAATCACACCTCTGGGGCATGTGATACTTTTAGCAGTGCTCTATCTGAAGAGTGTAGTTCCAAGGCAGGGATATATGGGGTGAGGCAAGTTGTTTAGGACTTTACATGTTAAAAGCAAAACCTTGAACTGATCCCAATAGCATATTGGTAGCCAGTGCAGTACCGTGGCAGAGGTTTATGTGGTGTAAACAGGGTGTCCCAGTCAGCAACCTAGCATCTATATTCTGCAACAGCTGCAGATTCCAGACTAAGCTCAAGGGCAGCCCCACATAGAGCACCCTGTAGTAGTCCAGTCTTCTGGGTACCAGGACCATACCCACAGTGGCCAAGCTATCTCAGTCGAGGAATAGACATAGGATTTGAGCTCTGTTTATGTGTCCTCATGCAGCCCACTCACGGCATTCAAACACCAATCTAGACCCTGATTCAGATATTACAAAGAAGCAATTGTGTGTGGTCATATTTTTTTTGTCTAAATGTGCTTCAGTTTACATTTGCTTACCCTCAGCTTCATTTCCCATTTTAATGCTCATTCACCCAGTTTGAATAGATATCTGTTTGGAGCGCCTCACTGTTTGTTCTTACCACCCTGGACGAACTTGGCCACTTTGTTACTCACCTGTAACTCTACATCATGACAAAGTTAAAACAAGCACTGGTCCCAATATTGGGGACCTCACATCCTGTCATTGTGAGAACTGTCCTTTTTTCTACTTTCGTCTTCCTGCTTGACTTGTTACTGTTCAGCCAGGTACCGATCCATTAAAAGACCTGTCCTCTCATCCCATGACTGACCGCTAAAAGTACTCAGATTCCGTTGATGACAAATTCCATCAAAAAGTTTTTTGAAAGTCAAAGTATGCAATATAGCCTAGATAAGTCCTTCCGTATGATTACTGACACTCTCAAATAACTTTTAAGTTAGACAGAAGGTACCCTTGCAGACGCAATATTGGTCCTTTCCAGTCCTCAAGTACAGAGGCTGATCTTGGAGGTGTTAACAGATTTTTGTTAGATCAGCTATTTCATGTTTGAGTTCTTAGAAACTCCTAAAATGGATATCACCTGAATCCAGGGATTTGTCTGTTTTTAATTTGTCAATAAGGGACACGGGTGGTTCTGTGGGTTAAACCACAGAGCCTAGGACTTGCCGATCAGAAGGTTGGCGGTTAGAATTCCCGCGACAGGGTGAGCTCCCGTTGCTCGGTCCCTGCTCCTGCCAACCTAGCAGTTCGAAAGCACGTCAAAGTGCAAGTAGATAAATAGGTACCACTCCGGTGGGAAGATAAATGGCGTTTCCATGCGCTGCTCTGGTTTGCCAGAAGCGGCTTAGTCATGCTGGCCACATGACCCGGAAGCTGTACGCCGGCTCCCTCGGCCAATAAAGCG